GGCCGCATCTGCCTGCTCCAGCCAGCCCGGATCGCCTCGGTATACCCTTGAGAAGCGAGCGGCTGCGCGATTAGAGAGCCGCATCTGTAGCGGTGCAGGTGGCAGAGAGGCGGTGGAGGGAGCCACTGCACCTGCGGCCGGGGGCTTCATTTAACGCAGGGGGTTCGGTGACGGGATCTACTGCGGGCAAACTGGCTAGTGCGGCCACAGGAGAGCCCTCACTACCAACCAGAGCCCCAACTGACCACCAGGGTAAGGTGACCAGTTTTTTAAAATCCAGGAACATTGTTAAGGGCTCATTCACACTGGAATTGGCCGGCACATACAGCTCCGTGCTGCGTGCACAGCCGTATCGGGCAGCTCCTGGGAAGGACAGGTGCTGCATGTGATTAGTACACAGCCCCCATTCTTCTGTATGGGACTACGCGGCCGTACGCCGCCCTGCGCTCCCCCGTCCTGTACATCGGTGCGGGTGAGCGTACCCGTATGCTGACAGGATGGATCCTGTCTGCGTCAGAGCAAGGAAACATGCACCCGTACAGACGTACTGGGCAGGTGAGCGTAGGGGGGTGTACGGCTGCATACACCCATAGAGAAGGACAGGGGCTGCATACTAATCATACGCTAGCACTTGTCCTTCCCGGGAGCTGCCCGATATGGCTGTGCACACAGCACGGAGCTGTACGTGCCGGCCGATTCCAGTGTGAATGAGCCCTACATGTCCCCAGGAACATAAAATAAAACATTTTAGTTTTTTAATTTAAGCGTTTCTTCCCAGAAGCTGCACACAGCGCCCCGGTTTAAGTAGTAACCAGCACATGCTGTATGCAGTTTCTGACAGCGTGGGAGACAGGAGGCTGGGCTTGTCTGGATCCAGGGATCTACTTAATTTTCTGGCAGTGCCCCTCCCGAGAATAGACTCTGGATCCGCCCCTGACTGGCAGTAGCTTGGTTTAAAACTAGCTGTATGGCAAGCAAGGGGTGCACATGCAGAGGAAGCTATGTAGTGTAGAGGTGTGCACTCCTTTCCTTAGCATTAACTGGCCAGGGGTGAGAAGGAGGTATGACTGAGGAAGGCTGATGATTGATCGGGTGGTAAATAGAGTTTGTGAGAGAGAAGCAAAAAAGCTGAGAAATTACAGCCTAGCTTTTTAGGAGTGTTTTGGGTGTTAAATCTTGGAGGGGTTAATAAAAAAACTTTAAGTGTTATGTTTGGAGGGAGAATGTTAAGGGCACATGTTAAGTGTTATATTAAGTGTTATAGTGGGGGATGTTTAAGTATTGAGGGACAGGTTAAGCAGAGGGATACATAGTAACGGAATACTTTAGGAGTTAGACTAATTGTTAAGTTGTGAAGGGGAGGGTTTATTATTAGGGTAGTTCCTAAGTGTAGCGGATACTGTAGTATTAAGTAAAACTTAGGACAAATACAGTATTAGCATGTCCCAGAGGACTTGTGCTAAAGACTATCAGTGCTGGACTCAAGAACAAATATATTAATAGAAGATATAGTCCAGCACCTACACATTCATTTTATCTATTAGAAATGATAAGATCGAGGTAGAACTGTAGTTGCCTATTACGCAGGTAATTAGCAGGATGTAGGGGAGGATGTCAGACACTAGACTGCATATTAGCTGCTCATCTATTACAATGAAAGCAGTGAATTCAGTTAAGTTTTTCCAATTAGCTCTTTCATAGGTGTAACTAAAGCTGTACAGTCATTGGCTTTGTAGAAAACTGCAACAAGACGTGTTTTAACTCAAATACAGTATTTTCAGTTGGGTTCTCCTTCTGTACAAAGCAGGGGCGTGTGAATATTTCATAATGAAGTTTTAATACGCAATCATTTATCATCACCGATTCATGAATAATGAAGCTGTTTAGGAAGCTGTGTGAATCAGTAATGATAATATAGTAAATCACCACAAAATGAAACAACTTATATGGTCACTTATCACCTTTTCTCTATAAATTTATGTTTGTAATTCATAAAATTAACCAGAGTAATTTGAGGATTAAATTATTAAAATGGATACATTACAACCAATTAAGTTTCTGCATATTTGTTTGACAATGATAAGAATTACAATTATAATTGTTTTTGCTCACTGTGTTGTCCTGCAAGCTCAACATTGTTTGTCAGCTAACCACATTACTTAACATGCATGATGGCCACTTACTAAACTACGTTACCAAATCGCAAATGAGCAATGGTTGTGCTCCATGTCCACTTTAAATGACATGTTTGGAAAAAGATCTATTACTTACAAAATAAAGCATTATTTTGTCACAAATCATGTCTTTTGCTCACAGATTATTCATACAATTAAATTAGGTACATTATTTCAATAGGCAGAGACCCATATTAGAAACCACAATTATTGTACCTTGAATAATCTGTGCTGCCTATCCATATTCACAAAGGAAGTGGGGGTCGTTGCAAGTGTAAAGTCCCTCAATGGCCCTCCTTGTCAAGGGACCCAAGCCATAACATAAAATCAGTGTGCCATAAACTGTGATCCCTGTCTAGTTAAAAGAAATAATTACCACACTGTCTTGGCCCCCTTGACAGTTGATCTTATTAAGTGGATAGTTATATCTGTACTGCAGGCTCTTATATAGCCAGCAATTGATTTTCTTTGCTTGAAAAGATAAATGCCAGTATGTAAAATTAAGTTCCTAAGACAGATAAATAACATATATGTATATTAAGTTTGTATTAAGCAGTTTGACTGGAGTTAAGATCATAGACTCAATAATAGCATGCAATGTCAAGCCGCAGTTTCTAAAGCAAGCAAAATACTTTCTTGT